CCCCAAAACCCCAAAACCCCAAAACCCCAAAACCCCATAAAATTAGTTTATTGAAAAGTAGTTTAATTTTGAACTTTGATAAATCATTATCTATAATATATAAACCTAGTGCTCTTTCAATGAACAATTTGTCTGATATAAGCGGTATAGCAATAAAGCAAATGAATGATTTGAGTGAGGGATCCTCACAAAACCAACTTTAGGCCCAGTCACATTAATTGAATGGGATTTCCCATTGTTTAAACGATCACTAGTCCTTCCAACATATTAGCAAAAAAGATGTAGACATTGATTAGAGGCGGGGGTAAGGCGAAGCTTCCATCTTTAATCTAAGCAATCAAGACAAGCAAAATATTGCATCGGATGCCACAGCACAATCCAAGCCATCTAGCATCGTGAGTCGAGGGTCTTCAGAAGATAACAAACAAGTTTAAGAGGGTTTTAAGTCATATAGAACTCCAACTATTGAAAGAAGGTTTGATGGAAAACTTTCAACATTTGAGAACTCTGAATTATTTAGTGGCGCGAGGGAGAATCATTATACTTCCAATAATTCAACTAATGAAAAGAAAGTAATACACATGCATTCCGAGGGAGATATGCTTCAATACCACAATAATGACTTAAATTAGCCACTTTCTGACTAAAAAATGACAGATAACTCAGAATTAAATCTTCAAGACAATAAACTCGGAGCTGATTTTGACCCGAATCACTCTACTTAAAAGGATTCTAGTCAAAGAATGTAAAGGGAAAGAGAGAGAAGATCTTGTAGAGATAAGACTTCAAAATATTCCTTGACTCATAAGGGTATGTATCCTAATATATGTAAGTTATAACACGCTGAAATTAAATTGCCTTTTTAGAAACCTCCGAAGACAACCCAGGGAAATCATATTTGAGTCATTCTCGCAGAGGCTATCAAACAGGCGCTGAAAACTCTCATGATCATAATCCTAATGAGGGATAAGATGAGTCCGGCCAGTAAAGAGACCTCAACAAGGACGGGAAGCCTCATAAGAAAGGAGCCCCGAAGTCTGCTGAATAATGTCTCAACTCTATACAGGACATGCTTTCCTTCGATTGGACGTTGAAAGATATTGCTAATTTGCGCCATTCTCCTCGTAACATTACTTCCTTAACCTTCTTCTAGAGCAAGAATTAACCAGTTCAATTTATTGGTTCTATATAAATACCTAGTACTTCCCTTTCAAGGCACTAGAGTTGTCACAAAAGCCATTAGACGAATTACTAAAACCAATTCTTTAAAATCTAAAACCTAATTATAAATAATATTAATAAAATTTAGAGGAATAAAAAGAGGTACAGCATAATAATAATCAATTGCCTCTCTAGCCGGAGGAACTTTAACATCAAGATTTGATTCTTTAAAATGAATTGGAATCGATCTAGCCATTGTAATAAAATCCTCATAGCGGGGATCCTGCTCCTAGTTTTATTCAGACACTTTTTAGAGAGAAGCGTTTTAGCAAGTTTAAGAAGTAGTTTAAAGAACTACATGAACGAGCTCTATAGGAGTCATTTAAGGAGCCAGCCAATCAAATAATTTATCAGGGATTAGACTGCCAAGAGGTCATCAATAGTATAGCTAAGGAGGGATAAGCTGATATCTTAATGGAAGACTCTGAAATATAGGAGATATAGATAGAAAATAAAGACGATGAAATAGCTCAGTAGACTGAAAAGAAATTCAGAATTATATTTGAGCTGCTGAAGCGTGAATTAGAGATTGTTGAGAAATAAAATAGAGATTAACTAACAAATGTAGGCTAAACACTAATCGATTCGTACGATAGAGCCCTTAAGGCTCATGATGAGAATTTGAGAGACACTTTTGTCTACAGACCAGAAGATATGGATAACTATGGTCTAGAATTCGTTTCTAGAATAGAACCATTATTTGTCCAGGATTTCTAGGTAAATATGGAGTGGTACAGGGAAAATTTCAATGAGATACTTTTGAATGTCGGTCATCCATCAAAACTTGAAAAAGATTTTTTGAAGCACATTGAATATGTATAACAGAAAAAGAGTGATATCAAGTATAAGAAAATTCTTAAGTAGCTTGAGTAGGGAAAAAGAAGTGATTAAATCTGCCTTGTGGATGATGACAAGTATCTGAACCTTAACAACACTAAAAGAAATCTAGTGGCTCAGGAGGATGCATAATGTGCTATTTGCAACAATGGAGATTATGAGGATGAAGATATGATCGTGTTTTGTGGAAATTGTAATGTCCCTGTTCACCAGAGTTGCTATGGCATCGAGTAATTACCGGAAGGAGATTGGATTTGCTATAACTGTGAAATCTTTGGCTTTAAAAGAGGACTAATGGTAAACTGCATGCTTTGCCCAAAGAAAGGTGGGGCTATGAAGCCAACAAATATCTTCACTTCTTTTGAAAATTTCAAAAAGTATAACTCTGGAAATAGTCACAGTAGCAAGAAAAGCTAAAAGAAAACTTAGCTAATTCATAGTATGAGTGAAAAGCTGAGTCTTGTAGATAACTTGGCATTAGACAACAATAGAAAGCTTTAGATTGGAGAAAATGAGGACAAAAATCTTAGTTTGACTGTCATACTTAATAGAGAATTCGATTTTCAGTCTGATTTAAGGCTAAGATACGAAAAGATGGAGAAACCTCTAGATACTTTAGAACTTGTATTTGACCCTAATGAGAAAGAAACTTAGACCCCAGAAGACTACTCGTATTTCTTGACAAAGAATGAGTAAAAACTTGAAAATCATCCTCATACCTTGACATTATACTAGTGGGTTCATCTAAGTTGTGCATCTTGGATTCCAGGTCCTCTTGTAACGCCTAAAACCCCAGTGAGGTTGAACAGATTCGATGAAAAACGCTTCAATCTGCAATGTATTATTTGCTTAAAGAAGGACGGAGCATGTATGCAATGCCAAGCTTCAAGATGTATCATTAGCTTCCATGTGGAATGCGCTCGCAGAAATAACTATTGCATGGAAATAGAGAGGAAAGATCGAGATAAAACTTATAGAATGTTCTGTGAAAAACATCGACCTCTTAAGATAGTCAAGGAAATGGAGGAGAGAGATAAACAGACAATAGAAGAGATTCAGAAGTTTTGTAAAATCATAGACAAGTGTGTTGAAATAGACTACAGGCACTAGTTAAAGCCCTCTAAGCATCATGAAAAAGAAAAGGAAATCATAAAGTAAAGTTGTAAGGGAGGATAGATTCAAAAGTCCACAAAAGAAAGATCAAGAAAAGAAGGTCATGGGGAGAGAAAAGAAAGAGAAAAACTCAAGAAATGGAGAGAAAAGGATAAGAAAATGCTCTTTGAGAGAGTAAAAGAGAAGTATTTACTGTTCAGAAAAATGAGAATCAATGTTATTAGAGTCGATCCGCTTAAAAAGCTTCGCAAATCAAGTAAATCCTAGTAAAGAAAGAGATCAAAGAAGAGGCAGAACAAAAAGCAAAGCCATGTTGGTGGCTGCAGGGCTGGATTGAGATCTAAACACTCAAATATGGAGGATGAAAGGCAGGATCTGCTTCAAATCTAGAGCTAAATAGAAGAAATGGAGGAGGAAAAGCAAGATGATGATATCTAAGATTCAACAATTCATCAAGACAATGTGGATGGTATTGATAACACCATAAATCCAGAAGATCAAGATTTATACTATAAATTAAGCATTCCAACATATCCAACAGAGATAGATTGGACTATCACATTATCAAGAAATGACTTCCCTTGGGCAGAGATCAAATTCAGCAACTTCACAGCCAAGGATTGCTACGAGAAGTACAGTTCTATAGTAAAGGACGCTCATGTCTTCTTGAAAAAAGTTCTTGGACTGAAGGAAAAATACAAGAAGATGATGCAGAACTAATTAGCATTAGCTTTGCAAACATAGAATCTAGCACCATAAGCTGCTGGTGCAGCTAATGCTTAAGAATCGTAGCTGTATTGCAAATGCAAAGGTACAGTTGTAAGTGAGTTATTTGTAAAATGTGATGGAGATGATGAATGTGTTAATGGTGGCTGGGTTCATCCATAATGTGCCGACCAGTTAAAAGATAAATCCAAAGAAGAATTAGATGCAATAGAGGAATGGTACTGCGATGATTGCCAGCAAAGAATCTAGAAAGAAGATGAAGACGAATTAAACGATCAATAAGAAGTTGATGAAGCAAATGATGAAGATGATGCCAATGAGGAGGAATCTCGAAGCAGATAAGGGGAAGACTAAGATATGCAAGATGAAACAAATAACAATAATAATGACTAATATCCTTAAAATATAGAGGATTTTGAATAAAATCGCAATGGATTGAGGGAATCTCAGCTTTAGAACTTCAGAGGAGGTGATGATGATAATGGTGGAGATAGGATGAGCAGTCGGAAGAGTAGCAGCCAGACTAGCCATGTTTCAAGTTCAAGCTCTGATGCCTTCTGATATTTAAATTAAGTTACCTAAGTTATTTGATCTGGTGTTACCAGTATTTAGTGAATAGAATTATAAGCTCTAATTTTATAAAAATATTCTAAAGCATAAACCATCAATAAATTAAGATCCTATTTTATCCACTCACTTTAAATAATTAGCCTATTCTGTTTAATAGTTACATCAGCTCATGTGGAATGAGATATAGATGAAGTTATCAAGATACGCTAGGTTTAAACTCAACCAATACATAGGTGTGCTGAACTCAGCTTCAACTCCTTAGACAATCACATCGAATTCCCTCTTCTTGACAATTTCAATGTCTCCCTTGTCATTCAACTGAGGCTCAAATAGTTTTGGAAACGTCTCAGCCAGAACATCTCCCAGAGTAACAGTTAAAGGATTTTTGTCAGGATCCACCGTTGAGTTAACTTCTATATTGGGCTGTAGATATGTATGATGCTTGTTGCAAAATACTCTGATCGCATATTTCTTAAGTTCAGCAACGTTCTTGTCGCATAAAGGCTAATTGACCTCCCAGAAGTTTTCAAAGTTGTGCTATGTTATACCTTGAATCATTCTCTCCTCATCCTTTCTCTGAATGTTGAGGATTTCTGATCCTTAACCCATGCGCAAGTTATGTGACTCTTTGAGAGAGTTGATGTAATGATACTTTAAGAAGTTCAAACCCTATAGATGTATATTAATCTCCTCTGGGAAGTCTTTGTAGTGAAATGTTAAGCACCAGGGCAGATCCTTCTGTTTATTCTTGATGCCTACTATAGTATCGAACTGTACACCAATGGGGACATTCCTATTGAATTATGTTAGGCTTATTCAAAGTACCATTTGAGAGGAGTATTATTGAAATCAAACCACATATTGTCATAAGAGTCTTTTCTATCACTTGATACATAGGGATCAAATAAGGATTTGACTTCATTTAAAATGTAGAAGAAGTAGTTCTCTCTTGGGGCCATTATCTATTTACGATATCAACAATAAGTAAATTATTTGACATACATATAAACTTCTTGGCTTCTCAATAGATATGGTGTCATTCAAAGCCAAGTCAACTTTTATAGGCAGCTAGCCATCCCATAGTCTCCTTCTGAGTTCCATATTAACAGCATCTGCAGGCACTTGGTTTTTCTGTGGAATCTGCTGAGTATTGATGTATTGACTTTGATTTATTTGAGATTTTTGCATGTTAGGTTACTGCTGATCTTCCATTTTACTCGAAATTGTATAAATTTTATAATTATTCCTCAAATCGATTTAAATTCTGCATAAGGGGTTTTGGGGTTTTGGGGTTTTGGGGTTTTGGGGTTTTGGGG